GGGCGCGGCGAGCTCGAGTGGTTGTTACGGGTGACGAGGAAGGCGGGGCCGGCGGCCGGAAGGGGCGCGCGTGCGCGAGCGCGGCCGAGGGGCGGAGGCGGGAGCGACGACGGTTGCTAGGGAGGGGGCAGGGGTGACAACAGGGGCCGGGACGAGCTGCGCAGGCGCCAACTCCGGGCCGGCGGGCATGGGAGGAGCTCGGAGCCGGCGACGGCCCTGATGCCGGGCTGGTCTCGCCCCAGGCACCTGGCCCCGCCCAGTTCTGCGTCGTGGGGCGGAGCCAGGGTGAGGGGCGGGCTCCCGAGTAGCGGGGCGGAGGCGGGGTGAGACACAAAAGGGGATTCGAGCCGAGGGCGGAGGACGGAGGAGTTCTGCTGAATTGGAACTGGCAGTGTGCGAGAAGTCAAAATAATCCGGGGCTTCCGGCCTTGCCGCTGCCCGGGGCCGGGGGCTGGGCCGCCTGCTCCGAGGCCCTCTTCCCTCGTGTTTCCTCATTTTTTGTTGAGTGCTCAAAAGCGCCAGGCTTCCCCGGTGCAGTGCCCTGACCACATTGTCGCCGAGTAATGCAGGTGAGACAAACGCCAGGGCTGGGAGGGGCTGGGTGGAGCCCGGCAGCATCTCGTCAACACGTCCAGGCTGTGCGATGGATCTAAGACTGGAGCCAGGGTCTGCCCTGCGGGGAGAGGAGGCTGCATTTCAGCGAGAGCACCACAGCTCCAGCTCCAACTTTAAAACACAAGTGTGATACACGCTGAGACAGTTAGGGGTCTTTAAGAGGAGCTAATGGCTACAGAGGGACACCACACACGTCCACCCACACGGCCAGGCTGGTTTTATAACCAACATACAATTTCTCCATCAATGTCACTGTTGTTCCGTTCACATTAGTCACCCTGGGTGGCTGTACGTTTGACGCTGCCACTGCACAGAACATTTTTGGAACACTTTTGGAATTTCCTTCACGGCCAGTTTACCAGCCACACAAGAAAATCATTCATTACTGGATCACACCTTTTTTTCAACTCAAACCATCATTTTCCAACTTGATCACCCACACTGCTCACTAAACTCAGCCCAAACTGGCTTTTTGCCTGTTTGTAAAAATCACATCCACCTTCAAAAGATGGTTTGAGAAAGAGGCAACCCAGTAAACAGCAGCACTTATGAAATAGTCTTGCCCCAAATTGACCTGATCTGATAAGCCTCTAGACGTAACTACCAATTTACTGGAGATAGACAACAGAGGAACATGCTAAATGATACCATTGGGAAACAAATGGCCAACTATAGATGTGGGAAATACTATGTGACAAACATATTCTTTATCAAATAAATTCCAAAGGAAAAAAGGGAAAGGGGCAATCTACTTCAATTAAAAATTTTAAAGAAAAAACAGAGACTTGAAACATCAACCACTTGTAGTATATGAACTTTATTTCCATCTTGATTTTTACAAACAAAGTAAAAGAAATTTTTATGAAACAGGGAAGTTTAAACATTGTTTGAACATATAATGATATTAAAAAATTATTAATTTTTAGGTGGGATAATGGTATTATGAATAATATCTTTTTTTTTCCCTTTTTCTCCCCAAAGCCCCTGTAGGTAGTTGTATGTCATAGTTGTACATCCTCCTAGTTGCTGTATGTGGGACGCTGCCTCAGCATGGCCCAACAAGCAGTGCGTCGGTGCGCGCCCGGGATCCGAACCTGAGCCACCAGTAGCGGAGCGTGCACACTTAACCACTAAACCATGGGCCGGCCCCCAGTTAATAGCTTTTAAAGAAGCCTTATGGTTTTTTTTTTGGTGAGGAAAATTGGCCCCGAGCTAACATCTGTTGCCAATCTTCCTCTTTTTGCTTGAGGAAGATTGTCCCTGAACTAACTTCTGTGCCAGTCTTCCTCTATTTTGTATGTGGGAGGCTACCGCCGCATGGCTTGATGAGTGGTGCATAGGTCTGCACCCGGGATCCAAACCTGAGAACCCCAGGCCGTCAAAGTGGAGCACATGAACTTAACCACTATGCCACCAGGCTGGCCCCTAAAGAAGCCTTATCTTTTCGGAATACACACTTAAATATTTTTGGATGAAATGGTGTGGTATCTGGGATTAGCTTCAGAATGATCCAGATGAAAAAAGGGAAGAGTTAAGGGCCTAAATGAAATAAGATTGGTCCTAAATTGATAATTGTTCATGATATTATTCTGTCTACTTTTGTATATGTTTGAAATTATCCATAGTAAAATGTTTTTCACAAAAAAGATGGTTTGTCACCACTGAGGATGGCAAATCAAGACATAATTACAAAAGAGGTATTTGAAAATGTCTCAAGCGATAGCATTATCATTAAGATACATGAACAGATTCCCAAGGTGAATAATTTGAAGGAAACAACACTCCTTTAGATGTATAAGTCATGGTATGTTTGATTGTTTTGAAATCAGTTTTATTGGACAGGTGTCCGGAATCTACAAGAAACTCGACTGAGCAGCGTACTGCAGAGTTCAATGAGAAGATCCAGTCCTCGTCCTTTTAACACACGTGTGAGGGAGCTCTTAGTATGTGTCAGACACTGTGTGCGGTGTAAAGATGAGTACGGTATGTGGGGCCAGCCCGGTGGCGCAAGCAGTTAAGTGCGAGCACTCTGCTGTGGTGGCCTGGGGTTGGCTGGTTCAGATCCCGGGTGTGCACCGACGCACCACTTGGCAAGCCGTGCTGTGGTGGCGTCACATATAAAGTGGAGGAAGATGGGCACGGATGTTAGCCCAGGGCCAGTCTTCC